TACGAGCGCGTGACACACTGCACGTGTGCTCGGACGGGTCGCCACCTGGCTACCTTCACTCGGTTGCCGGGGTCGGACCTGTACACACTGACCACTGAGTCCCCTCAGGTTAGCGTCTGCGTCTGCGTCAGGTCAGCTGTCGGCCCCCTGCTCGTGTCGCTCTCTGGCGCACGAGACCGTCCTCTGGCACCACCGCCTTGGTCACCCGTCAGTGCAGCGCCTTCGTGGCATGCACTCCCGGTACCTTGTCTCTGGTCTTCCCAGGGTTCTCCCTCCCCTCCCACCCTCGCCTGCTCCTCCCTGTCTTCCCTGTGTCGAGGGGCTGGCAGCGCGCCGCTCCTCACTCCTCCTCGTTTCCCCCGACGACTGCTCCCCTGCAGACGCTCCACATGGACGTGTGGGGCCCAGCCCGCGTTCGTGGACAGGGTCACGAGAGGTACTTCTTGATAGTTGTTGACGACTACTCGCGCTACACCACGGTCTTCCCCTTGCGCACCAAGGGTGAAGTCCCGGATGTTTTTGATCCCTTGGATCCGCGCTGCCCGTCTCCAGCTCAGCGAGAGGTTCCACTCGGACTTTCCTGTCCCTGCGTCTGCACTCTGACAGAGGTGGGGAGTTTTCCTCCGACCTCTTGAGGGCCTTTTGTCAGGGGGAGGGCATTGAGCAGTCGTTCACGCTTCCGGCCTCTCCACAGCAGAATGGGGTTGCTGAGCGCCGCATTGGCTTGGTCATGGAGGTCGCTCGTACCTCCTTGATCCAATGCGGCTTGCCCCCCACTTTCTGTGGCCGTTTTGCGGTCCGGTACGCTGCGCATCAGCTCAACCTCTGGCCCCGTGTCTCCTTGCCGGAGGACCTCGCCCACACTGCTGTGGACGGGGAAGGTTGGCGATGCGTCGCGTTTCCGGGTCTGGGGATCTCGAGCTTTTGTCCGCGATACGTCCGCGGACAAGCTCTCCTTCCGCGCTGTTCCTTGTGTCTTCCTTGGCTTTGTCCCGGACGCGTCTGGTTGGCAGTTTTTACCACGCCACCTCGCACCGTGTCCTACCCTCTCAGGACGTCACTTTTGGACGAGTCGGTGCCCTACTACCGCCTCTTCCCCTACCGCACTGCCCCGCTCCCCCCCCCGCCTCTCTTCCTCGCGCCAGGTGCTGCTGTGGTAGACCCCCTCCCCCCTCAGGGTGCCGCTCCCTCAGGTGTGTCCCAGGTAGGACCCAGTTGAGCCTGTCGAGGTAGCTGTCGACTCTCGTCCTGCTAGGGGTGCTGAGCCTGAGCGTGCGGAGCCTGGGGGTGCGGAGTCTGGGGGTGCGGAGCCTGCGGGTGCTGAGTCTGGGGGTGCTGAGTCTGGGGGTGCTGAGTCTGGGGGTGCTGCGACTGAGAGTGCTACACCTGGAGGCGCTCTTTCCTCACTAGCAGCTGCATGAGTGGTACTTACAGTACTGCAGCCTCAGGAGAGGTGCTGCTGGAGCTCGTGCTCGTGCTTCCCCTCCTAGGCGGGAGCTGCCCTCTCCCCAGCGCTCCGAGAGTGGTACGCTCGTCGCTGCAGTCTCCGGAGTGGCGCTACTAGTGTTACGGACCCTGCAGCTGGAGGTGCTGCTGGTGCTGGAGCTGCTGGAGGTTGCTGCTGCTGCTGGCGGTGCTGTTGGCGCTGCTGGAGGTGCTGCTGGTGCTGCTGGAGCTGCTGGAGGTGCTGCTGGTACTGGTGCTGCTGGTGCTGGTTCTGCCGGAGCTGCTGGAGCTGCTGGAGGCACTGCTGCTACTGGCGGTGCTGCTGGAGGTGCTGCTGGAGTTGCTGGAGGTGCTGCTGCTGCTGGCGGTGTTGCTGGCGCTGCTGGAGGTGCTGCTGGTGCTGGTGCTGCTGGAGCTGCTGGAGGTGCTGCTGGTACTGGTGCTGCTGGTGCTGGTGCTGCTGGAGCTGCTGGAGGTGCCTGCTGGAGCTGCTGGAGGTTCTGCTGGTACTGGTGCTGCTGGTGCTAGTACTGCTGGAGCTGCTGGAGGTGCTGCTGGTGCTGGAGCTGCTGGAGGCACTGCTGCGTGCTGGCGGTGCTGCTGGAGCTGCTGGAGGTAGCTGGAGCTGCTGGGACTGGAGCTGCTGCGGGGGTTGGAGCTGGAGTTGCTGAGCGGCCGCGGCCGTACTACGTTCCGCTCCTTCAGCAGGTTCTTGGTCTCCCGCCCTCTACTGGTCCTACTCCTCCCCTACTGAGTCCACCGCCTGTCCAGTACCCAGTCACAGTTACAGCCTGCCTCTCCGCTGCTTGGTCCTTCTCCTTACACTGCGCCGACGGGTAGTCTTACTGAGCGTCGTGAGCCTGAGTCTTGTCCTCCGTCGCCTGTGTCTAGTCCAGAGTCGCCTGTGTCCGGTGCTGTCCGCGCTGGTCGTCGTGCTCCGCGTGAGCGTCCTCCTCCTGTCCTTGGCACTCACTATATGACCCTGCGTCCGTGCCACTGCTCCACGCCGTGTCCCTCTGCCGTCTCCTCCTGCGTCCTCTCTTCCTGACGTTGCTGACCCGCCGTCAGACCTTACTCTAGCTGCCAGTCCTACTGTCGCGCGTCTCCTTACCACTGTTGTCACTGACCCTACCTTTGAGTCCTCTGCTGCGTCTGCTCTAGTCGCTGAGCTTGTTGACTTTGCTGCCGCCTGTCGTCTAGACTACGCCGCTAGCCTTGTTTGCTGAGTCTGAGTCTGTCTGTCCTCTGTCCGTCGGGGGTGAGTGTGCTCTTGGCACGGACGTCCTTGAGGACAGACAGGAGGAGTTTGAGTGCATTTGCTGCTGCTTACCTCATCTCGTGTCCATGCTGATTGCCCCTGAGGGAGACCCGGATCCACCAGACATCCCGACCCCACGCTCCTACGCAGAGGCGATGGAGGGTCTCTACTCCTCTCAGTGGCAGACAGCCATGGACGCAGAGATGGCTTCCTGGAAGTCCACAGGCACCTACGTCGACGAGGTTCCCCCACCTGGGGCGAACATCGTCAGTGGCATGTGGATTTTCAGGGTGAAGCGGCCGCCGGGTTCTCCCGCCTGTCTCAAGGCGCGTACGTTGCTACGAGGCTTCAGTCAGCGAGAGGGAGTTGACTTCTTCCAGACCTTCTCCCCGACCCCGAAGATGTACCACTCTTCGGGTTCTGCTGCACGTCGCTGCTCAGCGGACTACGAGCTCCACTGCCTTGACTTCAGCACTGCGTCCCTACAGGGCACCCTGCACGAGGAGATCTGGCTGCGCCGCCCACCTGGCTTCACTGGGTCGTTCCCTCCTGGTACCCAGTGGAGCCTCCGGCGGCCAGTCTACAGTCTCGCCAGGCACCCCGTGAGTGGCACGACACACTGAGGACTACTCTTGCTGCTCTTGGGTTCTGCTCCTTCTACTGCTGACCCGTCGCTGTTTCTACGCACCGACACCACTCTGCCGCCGTTCTACGTTCTCGTGTACGTAGACGACTTGGTCTTTGCTACTGCTGACACTGAGGCACTCGCCCACGTGAAGTCGGAGCTGCAGAAGAGACACACGTGCACAGACCTGGGTGAGCTGACAAGCTATCTTGGCTTGCGGATCACCCGGGACAGAGCACAGCGCACCATCACCTTGACTCAGTCACACATGGTGCAGCAGGTCCTTCAGCGCTTCCGCTTCACGTACTCCTCGCCTCAGCCCACTCCTCTGCCTACCGGTCACTCGCTCTCAGCTCTGCCTTCGGATGAGTCCGTAGAGCCGAGTGGCCCGTATCCAGAGCTTGTGGGCTGCCTCATGTACCTGATGACCTGCACTCGACCTGACCTAGCCTACCCTCTTAGCATCCTAGCACGCTATGTCGCTCCTGGCCGTCACCGGAAGGAGCACATGGATGCCGCTAAGAGGGTGTTGCGCTACTTGTGCAGTACGTCGGGCATGGGGCTTGTGCTTGGAGGACGGCGCGACGTTGTCCTCACTGGACACTCAGACGCTTCTTGGGCTGACGACAGGCTACTCAGCGGTCGTCTCAGGGTTACACCTTCAGCCTTGGCTCTGGCTCAGTTTCTTGGCGTTCTACACGCTCTTCCTCTGTTCTCAGCTCCAATTGTGAGGCTGAGATCTACGCCACAGCCATGGCTGCCCAGGAGCTTCGCTGGCTCACCTACCTGCTGACCGACCTGGGAGAGCGGCCTCGTTCTCCTCCAGTGCTGTACGTTGACAACAAGGCCGCCCTTGCCTTGTGTCAGGAGCACAGACTGGAGCACAGAACGAAGCACATCGCTCTGCGCTACTTCCTTGCTCGAGAGCTGCAGCAGCGTGGTCAGCTTCGTCTTTCGTACGTGGCCACTCGGGCCAACACTGCTGATGTGTTCACCAAGGCGCTTCAGCCTTGTGATCATCAGCGTTTCTGTACTGTTCTAGGCCTTGTGCCTACTGTCCCTCACTTGCTCACTTCTTGACTTTGCTTGTACTATGATCTCTATATATATACCTGCATGCTTACATTTGCTAGGTTGTGATCACTGTACCTCTTGTTATATTATCAAACTGCATGTGAACTGGTCTTGTGACCGCTTGCTTGTGCTCGGAATTTGTGTGGTATCCTTGAGATCCACCCTGAGCTTTGCTTTGCTTTGCCTTGCTTTGACTGGTCTTGTGACCATCTGGTTGTCTCCCACTTAGCCTATGGGGGTGTGTCAAACATTATATGTTTACATTGTGTAGGGGGTACAACAAACTTAGGGTTTCCTACTTGTACCCAACTTTCTGCTAGTTCATTCACACTTGTTCATTCTAACACCGCGCACCGTGCATAGGCCCGCCGTCGCGCCGCCCTACCTGCCCGAGTCGCGCCGCCCTGATCGAGCCGCGCCGCCCCACCTGTAGCAACTGCTGTTCATGTTCCTGCTACAGCTCCTACTGCTACTACTGCTACTGCTACCGCTACTGCTGCTACTGCTACTGCTGCTACTGCCACTATGGCTAGTCCTACCGTTCTCACCTTTGACTCTGAGGGCCGTCCGATTAAGTTTGACGTTTGGCTCGATGACATGCACCTGTTCCTCCAGATCACTGCCAAGGACGATGTTTCCCTGTTTGACCACACGTCCGGCGTAGCTCTCGCACCTGCTGCTACCGCTGACAGTACAGCTCGCTCACAGTGGCAGACCCGTGACGCTCACGCTCGCCTAGCCGTTCGCAGCCACCTGCCGTTAGATGAGCGCGAGCACTTTGGCCAGCATAAGACCGCTAAGGAGCTGTACGATGCTGTAGTTGCGCGCTACTCCTCCCCAGCTACTGCTGCGATAGGCCGTCTCTCGCTGCCCTATCTCTTCCCCGATCTGTCCGCCTTTGCCACTGTAGCCGACCTCATCACTCACCTCCGTACTAGTGATCTCCGCTACCGTGCTGCGCTTCCTCCTGATTTCCTCGCCAAGAACCCTCCCCCGATGTACCTCACACTCTACCACCTAGTCACTCACCTAGTGACTCCCTTCGTACTGTCAGGGACCACTTTCTTGCCCTCTCCCCCTCTGACCTCACTGTCGACCTGCTCGAGAAGGAACTCCTTGCAGCTGAGAAGAGTATTGTAGCTGTAGGTGCCTCTCGTGGCGACCCTCGCACTCCCTTCTTTGAGGGGTGTTCCCCCGTCCCCCTTCTCCCCTCCATTGCATCTGCTGCTGCTGTCGACTACCTCGGTGCTGAGGAGGTCGGGGCTGCGTCTGCTCCCAGTTGGAGGCGCAAGGGTGGCAAGGGCAAGGGGGGCAAGGGTGGTGGAGGTGGAGGCGGGGGCGGCGGTAGTGGAGGGGGTGGAGGAGGCGGGGGTGGTGGCGGTGGTGGGAGTGGTGCTAGTGGGGGGGGGGGCAGTGGCGGAGGCGGGGGTGGTGGCGGCGTCGGCAGTGGGGGTGGCGAGGGTGGTGGTGGCGGGGGTGGCGGCGGTGGAGCTGGTGGCGGGCGCGGTGGAGCGGTGCAGCGTGGAGGGGTCGGTGGTGGCCAGAGGCAGCAGCAGCAGCGTCCCATCGAGACCCCGTCCCCCCAGCAGCTCCGTGAGTGGTACTCTCAGCGTGGGGGGTCTGGGGGTGGAGGTACTTGCCCGTACCTTATCCGCACAGGTGACCGCACTGGCCAGACCTGTGGGAGGTTCCACACAGCACACCGCTGCTTCTTTCGTCTCGACGACGCCTGGCGTGCACAGTTTCCTGACGCCACTGAGCTGCCCCGCTGGGCTGATCTGATGAAAAAGAACATTGATATCTTTGCACTTGACTTTGATGCTATCCTTGGGGCCATGTATGCATTGACTATTAGTGTTGAGGGTGACTCTTACCTGCGTGTACCGCCAGACCCGGGTATTGGGACCAGTGAGGCTGCCGCTCTAGGTGCTAGTGCGTCTGCTGCCCTAGGTACTGGTCAGGCTGCCGCTCTAGGTTCTAGTGCGTCTGCTGCCCTAGGTACTGGTCAGGCTGCTGCTCTAGGTGCTAGTGAGTCTGCGGCTCCAGGTGCTCGTGCGTCTGCGCCTGCTGGTACTGCGTCTACTGAGGCACTGCACACCTTCACACTGGACTCGGGTGCTTCCCGCTGTTTCTTTCGTGACCGCACTGCCCTTGAGCAGCTTGCTCGGCCAGTTGCAGTCTCCCTCGCTGACCCCTCTGGGGGTCCGGTCATTGCGACCTCCTCCACTGTCCTTCCTTGTCCTGCGGTCCCGTCGGGCACACTGTCAGGTCTCTACCTCCCCTCGTTCTCTACGAACTTGGTGGCGGGTCGTGCGCTCCAGGACGGGGGTGTCCACCAGTTCACCCCTGCCTTCGAGCGCGTGACACACTGCACGTGTGCTCGGACGGGTCGCCACCTGGCTACCTTCACTCGGCAGCCGGGGTCGGACCTGTACACACTGACCACCGAGTCCCCCCAGGTAGCTGCGTCTGCGTCTGCGTCAGGTCAGCTGTCGGCCCCTGCTCGTGTCGCTCCCTGTCGCACGAGACCGTCCTCTGGCACCACCGCCTTGGTCACCCGTCAGTGCAGCGCCTTCGTGGCATGCACTCCCGGTACCTTGTCTCTGGTCTTCCCAGGGTTCTCCCTCCCCTCCCACCCTCGCCTGCTCCTCCCTGTCTTCCCTGTGTCGAGGGGCGGCAGCGCGCCGCTCCTCACTCCTCCTCGTTTCCCCCGACGACTGCTCCCCTGCAGACGCTCCACATGGACGTGTGGGGCCCAGCCCGCGTCCGTGGACAGGGTCACGAGAGGTACTTCTTGATAGTTGTTGACGACTACTCGCGCTACACCACGGTCTTCCCTTTGTGCACCAAGGGTGAAGTCCCTGATGTTTTGATCCCTTGGATCCGCGCTACCCGTCTCCAGCTCAGCGAGAGGTTCCACTCAGACCTTCCTGTACTGCGTCTGCAATCTGACAGAGGTGGGGAGTTTTCCTCCGACCTCTTGCGGGGCTTTTGTCGTGAGGAGGGCATTGAGCAGTCGTTCACGCTTCCGGCCTCTCCACAGCAGAATGGGGTTGCTGAGCGCTGCATTGGCTTGGTCATGGAGGTCGCTCGTACCTCCTTGATCCATGCGGCTGCCCCCCACTTTCTGTGGCCGTTTGCGGTCCGATACGCTGCGCATCAGCTCAACCTCTGGCCCCGTGTCTCCGTTCCGCAGACTTCGCCGACACTGCGTTGGACGGGAGAGGTTGGCGATGCGTCGGTGTTCCGGGTCTGGGGATCTCGTGCTTTCGTCCGCGATGCGGGCGTCGCCCGCAACGACAGAGACGACGATCACAGCGCGACACACCCCGAAGCGACGAATGCGGCCAGAAGCCAACCTCGCGTCACGATTTCGGTGCCGACCGGCGAGTCAGCACTGCCGTCGCCGATGCCGCTGAATCCGCAGCGTCCGCCTTGCTTTGACCCGAGTCAACGGGGCAGTCCTACCATTCAGGCGTGGTTATTCACCATGAACGTCTTCTTCGACGCAAACTACGTCTCGGAGGATACGGCGAAGATTCGTTACGCCGTGTCGTTGCTGCGAGGACCCGCCATGGATTGGTGGCGCGTCATCGTCACGAAGCCAATGGACTACGCGACTCTACTGACACGGGAAGGACAAACCGGACCCTGGGCGCCGTCGTATTTCGTGGAGGTGCCCCAATATCGCACGTGGGACGCGTGGTGCGCAGGTCTGCGTGCTCGTTTCGAGCCGATTGCGGCTTCGATCGCGACGCGTCAGAAGCTCCGCTCTTGGCGCCAGCTCGGTTCCGTCCAGGACTACACCAGCGGGTTTCTGGTACTGTGTGAGCAGGTGGGCTATATGCACGAAGGCGAGCGCATCGACCGCTACATCGGCGGCCTGAAGCACGAAACCGCCCAGGAAATCCAGCTCCGCAACGTCACCGATTGTCAGGAGATTCTCGCTATGGCGGAGAAACTCGATTTCTTCCGCCGACCGAGACCGGGGTCCTACGGAAATAAAAGCAACTGGGGACATCGGTCTCGTGGGACGAACGAGGGCGCTACGATACGAGCCGTCGCCGCGAATGCCGCTGCCGCACCGTTTAAAGGGCGCTGCTTCGCGTGCAATCGGCCGGAACACCGCAAAAGCGAATGCCCGGAAAACGATAAGGGAAAGGGGGAAGCTGAGCAGCAGAAACAGACCAAGCAGCAGGGAAACGCTGGGAGTCAGTAGCAGACGGGCGCTCTACTAACAGGTCACGCCGCTCGCCCGACCCAACCGACCCTCACCGAGTGATTGTGCCGGTTCACGCAATCGACCACACCCGGCCGAATAAGGAGGGTACCGCGGTAGATAGCCCCATACTGCTTAGTGGGGAAATTGGGACATACTTAGTTAAAATCGTCGTAGACGGGGGAGCCAGCCACAGCCTCATCAACACTGCCACATCACGGAAACTGAAACTGCCACTGGACAGGTGTTTGCCTGAGATTGACGCAAGACTGGTCGACGGCACGCCACTGGCGATACGGGAACGTCTGGACCGAGTTCGAATTCGATGCGGGGGTAACTTCACAATTAGCCAGAAAATGCTCGCAACGACCCTCGACGGAACCGACATTTTACTCGGCCGTGATTGGCTGCGACGACACAACCCGCGAATCGACTGGACGACAGGTGACTGAACTGTGCGAGTGAACGGTAACAACATCGCCCTACCTCGCTGGGGCTCGCCTGAGTCTTCGTCGGTGCGTGTCAACGCGATCACGATGAAACGCGCCGTAGCAGCAGGAGCTGACGTGTATGCGGTTGACATTCGAGAAGCCGAGGCAGCAGACAAAAGGGGGGGTTTACAGAAACTGCTCGCCGACGTACCGGATGACTTGGCAGCGCTACTGAAGCAGTACAGTGGGATTTTTCCGGACGATCTGCCGACAGGACTGCCACCTCAGCGACCGCACGACCACAGGATAGAACTAGAACCGAGGGCACAACCGATAGTACAGCGACAGTTCCGACTGACCCAACCCGAACTGGACGAACTACGGAAGCAGCTGGATTACATGCTCGAAAAGGAGTTTATTCGTCCGAGTTCGTCACCGTTTGCAGCACCGATACTGTTCATGCCGAAAAAAGACGGGGGTTTTTGCATGTGCATAGATTACCGCGCACATAACCGAGTTACCATCAAGTCCCGTTACCCTATCCCACGAGCCGACGAACCGATCGACCAACTGCGCACAGTCCGGGTTTTCTCGAAAAAATGACCTTCGAGGAGGCTACCACCAAATCCGCGTCAACCCACCCGACTGCCCGAAAACCGCCTTCCGAACACGCTACGGATCATTCGAATGCACGGTAATGCCCTTCGGACTGACCAACGCCCCCGCCACATTTCAAATGACCATGAACGAAGCCATCCTCCCGCTTTTAGATAAGTGCGTCATTGTGTGCTTAGACGACATACTGATCTACAGCACAGACCGAGCACAGCACCTACAGGACATCGAAGTTGTTTTCGAAATACTGAGTGAGAACCGCCAACTGACGAAAGCCTCTAAGTGTGAGTTTTTACAGGACAGACTGGAGTTTTTAGGGCACGTTATTTCAGCTGACGGAGTGGAAATAGACCCGAAAAAGAGATCGCGACGATTCAAGCATGGCACGCGCCGACAAACTTGACTGAGTTGCATAGTTTTTTGGGGTTCGTCAACTACGTGCGACGGTTCGTCCCCGACATGGCGCAGTTGACTGCCCCGTTGACCGACCTGCTGAGGAAGGGGGTTGAGTACACGTGGGGGGAGAAAGAGCAAGCTGCCTTCTCGGCCCTCAAAAATATTTTGTGCTCACCGCCCGTGCTTCGCATCGCAAATCCTCACCGTCCGTTCGAGCTTGTCACCGACGCAAGTAACATCGCTGTGGGAGCAGTACTGTTGCAGGACTTTGGGAACGGCCTTCAGCCAATCGCGTACGAGTCCCGCAAACTTCACCCGCCCGAACGCAACTACCCGATACACGACCGCGAGATGCTGGCGATCGTGCACGCGTTCAAGGTGTGGCGGTACTACCTGATAGGAGCCGACGTGACAGTACGGACAGACCATCGTGCACTACAGTACCTTCGCGCCCAACCGAACCTCAATCCGCGACAGATTCGCTCGTTGGACTATCTAGAGTCCAACTTCCACTACACCGTCACGTACAAGAAAGGAGCATCGAATATCGCCGACGCACTCACCCCCCCTACCGCCCAACTTCACGCCATCCTACTCGCCCAAACCAACCGACGGATACCGCACCGACCCATTTTTCACGACCGGAAATTCACAGCAACTGGCAGAAGCAAGGGAGTCTATTACGTAAAGACCGGCACCAACCGCATCTGGGTTCTCGCGTACTCACTACTAAGGGAGCTGTTACTGCAGGAAGCACACGACGGGGTTACCTCGGATCACTTCGGGGTAGAAAAAACGCGACAGCAACTGCAGCGGTATTACTACTGGTCGGAACTGTTGACCGACGTACAGCACCACGTGGGCTCGTGTCCTACGTGTCAGGTGATGAAGAGCTCGCGAAAAAGAAAGGCGGGTCAGTTGCAGCCCATTCCACCGCCCGAGCGCACCTGGCAGCAGGTTACCATGGATTTCGTCACGGGGTTACCTTCGAACCCTGGGGGTAACGACGCGGTAATGGTCGTCGTTGACAGACTGACGAAAATGGCTCACTTTGCTGCGTGCAGGAAATCTATCTCAGCTGAAGAAACCGCTCGCCTGTTCATCGCAACCGTCGTTCGACTTCACAGGATACCAGCCGCGATAATCAGCGACCGCGACACGAAGTTCACCAGCAACTTCTGGAAGAAACCTCTGGGAGCAGTTCGGGACCAGGCTACAGTTCAGCTCGTCGTACCAACCCGAGA